AAATTTTGTAAAAAAATAAGGAAGACCTTCAAGAAAAAAGTCTGGAACAAATGCTATAGCATTACTGTCGAATGGAAACAAAATCAAGGAATTATCAGCAAACTCAAAAGGCTTGGAGTATCAACTGATATGACTAGAAAAATGGATCGAGTCCTTAAGAAAACCAATTATTCATTTATTTATTCCTCCAAAAATATGACAGAAGAAAAAGAAGACTCAGAACAAATAAAGTCTCAAGGCAATATAGTAGATATAATAAATATTTGGATATTCAAAGGTTTTCAATGGTTTGGTTTTTAATCACAGTTAGAACTTCAGAAGATCTACAGTGATGAGCTGTAGGCAATGATCTAAGTGGCTAAAGGATAATCCAAGCCACAAAGGGAGCGAAATATCATCCCTAAGTTGCATCTAGAGAAGGTTAAACTTTGTAGATGGGCGAGTCAATATATAAAAATCATAAAATATGTAAATATCAAATATGTTTACAATAAAATAGACAAGCCATATTGGTCTAACTGCGGGTTAAAAAAAAAAAAAAAAAAAAAAAAAGGAAATATCAAAAAATTCTTTAAAAAGATATTATTCCTTGAGATTTTTATTATAATTATAATTATTGAAGAAGAAAAAATAATCAATGATGTTTATTATTCAATATATTTTAATTTAAATTTATTTTTTTTATTTAACCAATAATATTATAAATTTCATATTTTGATTCACCTGCATAGTTTATAATAAATAGACTTTTGATTCTTATAAGTATTGAGAAAATATATTTAGACATATAAAATAATTAATAGAAATTTATTTATATCTTAATTATTGATATATAGTATTTTTATTATTAAATTATTACATAAGAAATTTTGTGTTACTTAAAATTTAAAATCAGACTGAGACAAATAAATTTTCTTAAAAAAAACTAAGAAAAAATATTATCATAGTCTTAAATAATAATAAAAAAGTACTGAATTTGTCTTTAAAAAAGTTTATTATTACATTAAAGCTCTGTATTATTTCTTTAATAAAAAAAATAAGATAATAATTAGTTTTACTTTCTTTTGAAATTTATTTGCCATTGACTATTTCTCTAAATGCAACTTTGGAAAATTTAAATCTTTAATTATATAATTAAAAATTATAAAATTTATAAATATATTATATTTTAATATTAGTTTTATTTATTATAATTTTTTCAAAAAAATTTTATATGTATTTTTAAAGTTTTATTATTATTAAAAATAAATTTTTTTATTAAATTTTTATTTTTGAATAATTTTGATTGGCTGTTATGATAAATCATATGCTAATTAATAAAAAAAATAAAATATTTAACAATAATCAAACTTAAAAAATTTTTATAAAAATTTTTTTTAAAAAATATAAGAAATAGAATAAGCATTAAGACATGATATACTGTATATAAATTTTATAATTTTTAATCGTATAATTAAAGATTTAAAAATTGTTAAAGTTGAAATTTATAATAAAAACATAATAAGTGGACTCGAACTTTTAGAAGTAATTGTATTTATACGTATAGTAATGATGATGATGATTTATTTGATTTCATTAATTTTATTAAATATATTTGTAATATTATTGATCTATTTAAATGTTGATTGAAAATAAGAGATTGATTAATAATAATATTTTTTATAATATTGAAAAATCTATTTATCAAGATTTTTTTTTTTTTTTTTTAACAATAAAATAGATTTTTCACTTAAAATTACACTATTGATAAAATAGTTTATTCTACGATACGGTTGGTTTATACGTACTGCATACAGTATATCAAAATTTTTAAATAAATCATGATTTATATAATAATAAATAAAAGGCCCGTTTTGATTTTAAGATTATCAGATCAGTTTTTTTTAAAAAAGGTTACATAGTCGCGAAATGCGTTTCGCGAGAATATACTGTATGATCGAACGTGCATTTACAAAAGATCTTTCTTCAGGAATTCTTTCTATGTACTTGGAACCTAAGCTCGCGTGAGCGAATTTGGAGGAAAGATAAAATGAATATACTATCACATTCTGGGGGATTCATTGTTTTAAAATTTCAAATGAACTCGACGAAATTACTAAAAATAATTAACCTATTACAATCAAATTTAAGTATGATCGACAACGATAACCTTCCTTGTTTCAACTATACTGTATCATGACTATTATTAAAGCAAGAAAAATGCCAAGTAAAAAAAAAAAAATCCGTTTTTATATTTGGTTTTCAAATCGGTGCGGTGATATGGTTCAAGCGGAGTTTTCCTCTACTGACATTTATGGTTATCAGGTAAGCGATGTTGAAAATTACAATAGTTCACTTGATATCACACAACCTTAGTCGTTACGATTCAGATGACTCTTGCGCCCAAAAACTGCTTCGTTTTACCATATCATGTTGTGTGTTACTTTTGTTACGCTTGGATATCCAAAAAGAGCGAAACAAAAATGATGGAAATCCGGAATATTTAGACCGAATGTAGGATCTTCAGCGCACTTCTGACCAATGTATTTGTTTGAGTGTAACATAAATTAATAATTTAAGATATGGTGCGTATGCGTAAAAATTAATAAATGAAAAAAAAAAAAAAAAAGAATACTGTGCCTAATAATTCGCGTTGTTCTGAGAGCAGACATTACTTGCATCAAATAAAAAACATAGAATCGAAAGAAGGCACATTGGTTCCCATATAGTTTTCGAACGAAGGATATTCGCAAAATGTCAAAGAAAGTAAAAAGGTTTCTTAATTATGTGACAACACCGGAATTCCTTTTAGACAAGGATAAAAGGAGAGATTTACGTATATTTGGAAGATGCTTGGATTGCAAAAAACCGCTGGCAGGAGGAAGCCGTTGCAGTTCATGTACACAACAACGTTTTAAAGATCAATTTTCAAGTTGGACAAGTGGGAACATTACGGTTGACAAATTTATACAAGATGCGCAGCTCAATGCTAATCACTGTCGCTTAACGATCGAGTGGATTCTCTATAATAATTTTAAGGAAGTTGAATGGGCTGCAACTGGCGGATATAGTGATATCTACTCTGCTACTTGGAATAATGGAAAAATAATTGAGTGGGATGATGATAAAAAAGGTTGGAAAAGAACTGGCGAACGTAAAGTTGCATTGAAAGAGTTTTGTGACTCGAGTCGTCATATTACTTATGAGTTTCTAAAAGAGGTATGGAAGTGACGGCGACTAAACATACTGGCTTAATTTAAGAAGCTATTAACATAGTTTCCTTAATTTTAGGTCCATCAACATGTTTTAATGTTCGAAGAAAGCTATTTGGAGGGTGTAATAGACATTTATGGAATTACCAGGTCCCCAGGGACTGGTAATTTGGTGATGGTCATGAAGTACGCTGGAAATGGAGATCTAAGAAATTATTTGAACAATAAGTTCAATACATTATCATGGTCCAGCAAAGGATACATAATGGAAGCCATTATTTCGGGCTTATGTAACATTCACAAAGCAGGAGTAATTCACAAAAATTTTCATCCCGGAAATATTTTATTGTCAGATAGTAATGAACCATTAATTACTGACATAGGGTTATATAAGCCTGTGTACGAATATCGAAGCACGGAAAGCAAATTATTTGGTGTTTTACCATACATAGCCCCCGAGGTTCTGCGCGGCGGCGAGCGCACTCAAGCCTCAGATGTTTATTCATTAGGAATTATTATGAATGAAATCGTGTCGGGGTACCCGCCATATTACAATTTTGCGCACAATGTATATCTTGCATCGCAGATTGTAGACGGGCTAAGGCCTGAGGTTGATGTAATTACAACTCCACAAATTATTATAGACTGGATTCATAGGTGTTGGGATAAAAATCCTAATGCTAGACCGACGGCTGAAGAAATAAATGACTTTTTCCAAAATCCTGAAAATAAAAAAAGCATAAAAAATCAAGTACAATCGCTTGGTTTCGATTTCTACAAATCCGTGCCCTCGGTAATAAACCTTGAGAGAATCAGAATCCATCCTCAAGCTTTTTATACAAGTCGCATGTTAAACTTGAAGCTTTGATCTCTGCAGGTAGACAACTTTATTTTCTGTGGTAAGCCGAGCGAGTTCTCATTTTATAAATGTTGCTCATTTTTATTTTTATAAATAGGACAGGGCTGGTAAAGTAACATCAGTAAGGTAGGGCTGGCAAAGTGACATCAGTATGGAATTCGTTAAAAGAATAACTTCAATTATGAAATTATGTGTACACTCCTAAAGCGATCATTGGGTATAGAGGAGGGAACTTTCTTCTCACGTCTCAATCGTCTCAACTTATCTACTCTTGACCTCAACTGATTCATATTTGTATTTAATTAAAAGGGGGGAAGTAAAATGGCGATTTTTATTATTCTTTTTCTTTTTCTTTTTTCAAGCCGAGAACAGAGTTGAAATTCTTTGCTACGCTCAAAATATGAATAACATGAAATAGAAAAAGAAAAATTAAATGATGTACAATTAACAAACAAATGTATTATAATTTATATAATTAACAAATAAATGTATTATTAAAATATTGTTGATAATTTTTTATATTTCAAACATATTATGGCATCTTTTTCTAAAGACTTCAAATTACTATCAATCATAATTTTTGAATTTACTTTACTGAAATCAAACTTTTTTTTTTGTTTTTTAAAAAAAAAAACTAAAAAATTTGCGATTTTTAAAATCTAACTTATTAAATTTGAAATTTATTTTTTCTTTTATTATTATTCTATTAATCTATTTATATATAACATTCTATTTTGATTGCAAATTTTTGCTAGTTGAAAGATTTGTCGTGACCGAGTTCTTTTTGATAAAATAATAAAATTGCGAACTCCACGTCAAACACAGATTGAATTACCCACCCATAATTACAAAGCCGGTGTAAAAATGACAGAAATTGTTATTATTCACAAGTTTTTTTGCATCCAGTTTCTGGAAAATGGATAATAATTAGTTCGAGATTTAAGGTCAAATTAGCGAAATGATTGATGAATACCTCTCGATCCCCCGCTAATTACAACATCTAGAGCTCTGCTTCTATAATGTGCTCCGGGATGTGTGAGATCATCTTTCGATTGTTGAGATCTTTGTTTTTCTATTATTATATTTTTTCTACGTCCTTCAGCAATGATGAAATCCTTTTCATTTTCTTTCCGGGTCCACTTATCAAATTGGTGCCCAATGTCACTCATGGTTGGTCGGTCGGCTGGATTATTGCTCCAACACCTTTTTATCAAGTTGGCAAAAACTGACGGCGTGTCTCCAGTAATTTCAGGTCGTAATCCGTTAATGATGTCCAGTATTAACAAATGATCATGAGCTCTATTCTTGAATGGTTTATGACCCGAGGTAAATTCCCACATCAATATTCCAAAGCTATACACATCGGATGCTTGCGTGAATGGTCGTCTCTCTAAAATTTCAGGTGCCATATAAGGGATTACTCCAAATATGTTCTCGGGAGTGTTTAAATTGGTGGATTTGCAAAGTCCTAAATCCGCTATTCGAATAGATCCCGAAACTCCTCCGACCCCCAGTACAATATTTCCAGAATGAACATCGCAATGGATCAAGTTATTCTCATGAATCTTTTCGAATCTACATGGAAATTGTAGCCGAATTAACATTAGCTTGATATGATTTGGCTGACTAGCTTGCGTGAACACACTTACCCGGTTGCAATGTGATGCAATTTTTCTATTTTTTCATTCCACGTTATTTTTTCAAAATTGCTTAATAAATATTGATGAAGACTTCCATTTTCCGCGTATTCCATCACTATCATGTGGATGTTTGAATTGTCCTTTGTAAAACCAAAGCATCGGAGAACATAATTTTCGGTTTCAACAACTTTGTTAAATAGCAACTAGACGAACAGTAAATTACATAATGAGTTGAACGGCAAGTATGTCTTAAATGCATCAACGATCGTAAGACTTACCTCAAGTAGGAGATCTGTGGTGATATTCCCTGAATAGTGAAAGCTTTTGAGAACTACTTTGACGTCCTCGCCTGAATTACGAATCCAGGTGGCTTTAAACATCTTGCCAAATCCTCCCCGAGCCAAATATTCAACGCGTCGAAATTGTGAAAATGGAATCCATTTGCTACTGTTTTCGGAAGATTTAAGGTACCACTGGAATGCCTTTTTCTCATCCTTTGCGGTTCCAATTCCATTTTTATAGCAATCGCCTACGTTGTACTGTCCAAGATTATTTCCACCTTCGGCTGATTTTAAGTACCATTGGAATGCCTTCTCTTCGTCCCTTGCGGTTCCAATGCCTTTTTTATAACATTCCCCAAGATTATATTGACCGAAATCGTTTCCACCTTCTGCAGATTTCAGGTACCATTCGAATGCCCTTTGTTCATCTTTGTCAGTTCCAATTCCATTTTTATAGCAGTGGCCAAGATTATTTTGGCCATTATCATTTCCATCCTCGGCAGACTCCAGATACCATTGAAATGCCGTTTTTTCATCTTTACCGGTCCCGATTCCGTTTTCGTAACAACGCCCAAGATTATTTTTTCCGTTATTGTTCCCACTTTTAGCTGATTCCAAATACCATCGAAATGCTTTTTCTTCGTCTTTCGTGACCCCAATTCCATTCTCATAACAACGACCGACATTATTTTGTCCATCATCATTCCCACCCTCGGCAGACTTCAAGTACCACTTGAATGCTTTTTTCTCATCCTTGGCGGTACCTATTCCGTTTTCATAGCAGTACCCCAGCTCGTCTTGACCAAAGTAATCCCCGCTTTCCGCGGATTTTGTATACCATTGAAATGCCCTCTCCTCATTCTTTATTATTCCAATTCCATTTGCATAACAGCGGCCAACATTATTCTGTCCGCTATTGTTTCCACCTCTCGCGGATCTTAAATACCACTGGAAGGCTCTCTTTTCGTCCTTGGTGGTCCCAATTCCGTTTTCGTAGCAACGACCAAGATTATCTTGCCCGTTGTCATTTTCCCCTTTAGCAGCTTCCAAATACCATTGGAACGCTCTTATCTCATTTTTGGCGGTCCCAATTCCATTTTCGTAGAAGTATCCCAAGTCATCTTGACTATAATGATTTCCACCTTCGGCAGACTTGAGGTACCATAGAAATGCTGTTTCTTCATTTTTGACTGTTCCTATTCCATTTTCGTAGCAAAACGCAAGTTTATTTTGTCCCTTATTATTTCCACCTTCTGCAGATCTAAGGTACCATTGAAATGCCTTTTCTTCATCGCAAACAGTTCCAATCCCATTTTCGTAACAGCGTCCGAGGTTGTATTGCCCATTGCTGTTTCCACCTTCGGCGGATTTTGAATACCACTGAAATGATTTCATTTCGTCTTTTAATGTCCCAATTCCATTCTCATAAAAATATCCCAAATTATCCTGACTAAAGTGATTTCCACTTTCGGCCGATCTTAAATACCAATGAAATGCCATTTTTTCATCCTTCTTGACCCCAATTCCTTTTTCATAACAACGACCGAGATTCCTTTGTCCTATGTCGTTTTTCCCTTCGGCAGATTTCAAGTAATACTGGAATGCTCTCGCCTCATCTTTGGCGTTTCCAATTCCATTTTCATAACAACGGCCAATATTATTCTGTCCATTACTGTTTCCACTCGTTGCGGATCTCAAATACCATTGGAAGGCCATTGCTTCGTCCTTTTCGGTTCCGATTCCATTTTCATAGCAATATCCTAAGTTGTCTTGACTGCGATGATTTCCGACTTTGGCTGATTTCAAATACCATTGAACCGCCTTCTCCTGATCTTTTACGGTTCCAATCCCATTTAGATAACAACTTCCAACGTTATTTTGTCCATTATTGTTTCCACTTTCTGCGGATTTCAAGTACCATTGAAAAGCCTTCGTTTCATCCCTTGTGATTCCCATTCCGTGTTGATAAAGGCGTCCAACTTTGTTTTGCGCATCATCGTTTTCATTCTCTGCAGACTTCAAGTACCATTGGAATGTTTTCTTTTCATCTTTCGCGGTTCCAATTCCATATTCGTAGCAACGACCGAGATTATTTTGTCCATTACTGTTTCCACTTATTGCAGATCTCAAATACCATTCAAATGCTTTCTTCTCATCCTTTTCAGTTCCAATTCCGTACTCGTAGCAACGACCTATATTATTTTGTCCGACATTGTTTCCACCTTCTGCAGACTTTTTGTACCATTGGAATGCTTCTTTTTCGTCCCTTGCCGTTCCGATTCCACTTTCGTAGCAATGCCCAAGATAATTTTGTCCATTGTAATTTTTACCTTTGGCGGATTCCTGATAGCACCAAAATGCTTTATAGTAGTCTTTAATGGTCCCGATTCCATCTTCATAACAACGTCCGAGGTTATACTGTCCATTATGGTCTCCACTTTGAGCGGACTTATAATACCACCAAAACGCTTTTTCGCCATCTTTTATCGTCCCGATCCCATTTTCATAACAAATGCCAAGATTATTTTGCCCGTAACTATTTCCGTTCTCGGCGGACTTTATGTACCATTTAAACGCCTTCCCTTCGTCTTTTGCGATTCCAATTCCGTCTTGATAGCAACATCCGAGATTATTCTGCCCATCATCGTTTCCACCTTCGGCAGATTTCAAGTACCATTGGAATGCTTTCTCCTTGTCCTCAGCAGTCCCAATTCCATCTTTATAACAGCGTCCAAGGTTATTTTGCCCATTATTGTTCCCACCTTCCGCAGATTTCGAATACCACAAAAATGCTTTTCCTACGTCTTTCGTGGTTCCAATTCCATTTTCATAGCAGTATCCTAGGTTGTCCTGCCCGAAATGATTTCCCGCCTCGGCAGATTTTAAATACCATTGGAATGCTTTTTCTTCATTTTTGATGGTGCCAATGCCATTTTCGTAACAACGACCGAGATTATTTTGCCCATTATCATTTCCACCTTCGGCAGATTTCAAGTAACATTGAAATGCCTTTTCATCATCTTTGACGGTTCCAATGCCATTTATATAACAATATCCTAAACTGTCCTGGCCAAAGCTATTTCCACTGTCGGCTGATTTTAAGTACCATCGGAAAGCTATCTCTTCATTCTTGGTGACACCGACCCCATGCTGATAGCAATATCCCAAATTCTCCTGGCCAAAACTATTTCCACTTTCGGCTGATTTCAAGTACCATTGAACGGCCTTCTCTAAATCTTTAACGATTCCGATTCCATTTTCATAACAGCGTCCGATATTATTTTGTCCATTACTATTTTCACTTTCGGCAGACTTTAAATACCACTGAAATGCCTTCTCCTCATTTTTCGTGGTTCCTATTCCGTATTCATAACAATGTCCTAAATTATTCTGGCCAAAACTATTCCCGTCTTCGGCAGATTTCGTGTACAACTGGAATGCTTTCTCATCATCTTTTTTAATTCCAATTCCATAATGATAACAACGCCCAAGGTTATACAGACCCAAGGGACTTCCATCTTCG